CGCGGCCAGAAAGAGGGCGGGCGCCGAGTTTCGAAAGCCGGCGCTTTCGCGCGTTCGAAGAGGCTTTGCACGGAGTTTTTGTGCAAATTTGCGGGGTTGGCCTTCGCGCTGCGGCGAGATGGCACCGCAGGCGGCGAGATGGCTGCAATCTATGTGTTGCGAGCGCTAGATGGCGAAATTTTCTTCGCCTCCGGCGGGGCCGCTCGCCGCGGGGCTAGAGGGACTTTTGTCGATGTCGGCTAGAGAAGTGCTGCACCTTTTTGAGAATTTCACCCTACGTTCTAGTCTGAAGGACTAGTCGGTCTCACTACACATAGGACACACCGAACACGGCGACACGATACACGATGTACATCTCCCCCGCGCTGCGCCACCTTAATGCGACTTGGGAAGGTGGACTAGAGCGTCTGCGTCCCCCCCGGAGAGCTGGAGAGCGCGGGGGCAACGGCGCGCACGCCGCTCAGCATATGCTTGAGCAGCACTCAAACGGGGCGAGGGCGAGCCCGCAGCAAAACATGCAAGAGCAGGTGCAGCAAAAGGTGATCATGCACAGCATGAGAAACAGGACGAAATAGGTGAAAACTGCGCATAAAGGGGGGAGGGGAAGGGAGAGGCATCGGAGGGTAGTTGCCAGGGTGTCAGTGCGGTGTCTGTGGAGGGGAGTTCGAGTGTGCGTATGAGGGGAGCGGTTGCGCACAGAGACCAGGCATGAAGACGCCGACGTACTGCTGGAAGCGTGCCACCTCCGGGTCGGACGACATGCCTGGCATACCACCGCCACCGCCGCCTGACTTGCCGCCACCTCCACCACCAAGCAGGTCTTGCGCGCCATCCGCCGCCTGACACGGGGGGCAGGGGTTGATAAGAGGGGTGTGTACAGTGCAAGGGCCGGCGATCGGATTGTAGACCCCGCTCAGCATTTCGCCCATCTCAAAGAGGGCGCGATGGGCGGAGTCGGGGACTTCCGGTGCAGATGCAGCACCAGATGCCGTACTCATGGTCTCGGCCTCGTCCAGCGCACCCGCCGCGATCCGCAGGGGCGGCGCCGCTGTTTCGGCGCCACCGAGCACAAGGGCGAGAAGTAGGCGGACTAACGAGTTCATGGAAGGGAAGGGGGTATTTTGTCCAGTGGAACCGTCGGCAAGACGCTGTTTGCAAGTTTTTCTTCT